TACATTTACACTGAATCAAATCGCGCTACAGACCACGTGTTCTGTGTCCCTTAATGTTGCAGCACGAATTAGCATGAATATGGGTACCGTTGATTCATAATACCAATGACAAAGCCTAGACAGCAAATGTTCCCTCCATTTCTTTAGGCCTTTACTAACTCAACTGTTGCAAAACGCATATTTAAGCATTGAGGAAAAAAACTTGAATTGATGGTCAGCATAGTCGAACTCCCCATTTTCGAGAAGGTTTTAATTTTAGCACAAACAACGGTATTGGCAGATGGATGACTTCATACAACTTTCAACCCACACATACAACCGCTTCTTCGTGGTACTAAGGTCACATTTAGCGTCCTTCTAGCATTCATTAGTTTCCTTTATTCTTCTTCAATTTGGTACCAATTAAATGGTCGTAAGTTATCTTTTGTCTTCGTTGTAGGATATCTGACACTTATCAGATGTCTGCGACGACAACGCGAAATTTGCATTTTCATCGTCCTAATTACACTTGGAGCAATGCTGTTTACCCTCGAGCATTACATTGAACGTGATACTTCATTAGCACTAACAGGCTCTTCGTCGGAATGCGCAGAGTACTTTGCCGAAGTCAACTCTCCCACTCATCCACACTGTCTGCAGTTCCGGGAGCGTTTTGCCATCACAATTGATCCCCACGTTGACATGGATATAGCGTTCACGTTGGTGGTGCACAAGGACGTTGGTCAGATTGCTCGACTCCTTCGAAAGATTTACAGACAAAACAACTACTACTGCATTCATGCTGACAGGCGTTCAGACTGCTTATTCATAGAGGCCCTGCGTGGTGTTGCGACGTGTTTTGGTGCAAATGTGGAATTAGTTCCATATGAAGAGCGCGAAACAGGCGTTGAGCAATCACGCATCGTGGAAGTACCTGGTGAATTTGGTTGGACAGGATTTCCCACTGCGAACGAACATGGAGCTGGTGGCTGCACTGAAGGCACTCAATGGATCCAATCTCGTTGAATCTGTCGAACTGGGCAGATTTGCGTGGTGGACAAATAAAAAGACGCTGCCATTAGTGGTAATTTGCCATTTAATACGGCTATCGTGTTATCTTCTTTCTGTGAAGCGGCACTGCTTTATATTGAATGGCCAATCAGCAAAAAAAAATTCGTCATGCAAACGCATACCACTGACAAATACGCCACGTTATGTTGTGGCAAATTGTTCTATTGATGCCGCAACCAGCTGAAAGTCATGTGCTCAATTTACTCAGTCGATTGCTTTAAATTTTAAATATGTAACAGAAACCATCGTCTATATATTTCAACAAAAATACTGTACAGATGAAAAACCATCATTAAAGAAATGCAAAGTACACAGTTTACTCTTGACGTTGTAGGTAACATGGTACAAAGGCTCAATGTACGGTGCCTTCCGAAGGGAATTTCTGCACGAAGCAGTCATGGGAACAGCTGTCGGTCCCACCCGTGACCTCATGCTCAAGCCAAGGAACATCATGCATCCAGACGAGTTCTATTTCCCCACTCTCGCTTACAACATCAAACTCCGCCTGCCTGGGGCCTGTGTCAACACTCCATCACCCGAATCGGAAGTGGGCTACAACTACTTGGCCAAGTTTGTCATTTGGGGAGGCTACAATGTGACTTGTACTACTAAATACGTTAGAGGTGTCTGCATTCCTGGAACGGATCATGTGGCGCTGTTGCAGAGTGTTCCACACATATCTGCCAACAAGTTCCACGCTGACTATCAACCGGAGGCATACGATGAGATGGAGCGATGGTATTTCCGACGCGTCGCAGCGGAAATGATGACTGGCTCGTATAACAGAAGCTCATTTGATCCAGCGATTTATTCCAACTTGTCATGCTCTCAAAACCATGTTTAGTATTTTTTTTATATTTTCATTTCCATTAAAACTAACTAATTTGGTAGCAATCGACCTTTTTGATTATTTGTATTTTATTGTGAATTCTCTTAAGCAGACTGCACACGGCACACTGGCGCGTCATTGATTTCAACTCTGCCTAATTTAAATGTGTTTGGGGAAGCAGCTTAGGTTGGCGTTAGGAAGAATACCTGACACTAGAGTTGGGGTTAACCATGGCCTTTAACAGGAGTCTTATTGTTGATTGGTGCAGAGTGGTATTGTTGTTGTCTCTTATACATTTTCACGGATGAACATGGGATAGTGAAGGACTTGAATTTCTCGTTTAATCCATTTGCCTGTCTCTGGTTGGCAAGACTAATGCCGTTGAGTTGAGCTTGCTTGAAATAATTTGCTCTCAGCGTTTTTGTTGACAGGGCTAGGTGTTCCACATGTAGATTTTCATTCGCTGATATTTATGACAAGCAAAATAGTGGTCCCTTGCCACAGTCTTCAACTTGCAAGGTGTTTTCCAAACCAGCACTCGCAATCTTGATTCTGAGCTGCAATGATATTGGCTATGAGGGGTGAGTGACTACAAGAGTAAAACCACTCCAAATGTCAGTTGATAATCCAGCATAAAAAGTGCAGTTTTGCGTTTGGTTTCATACCTGGCGTCATTAAGTCACTGGTAGTACTTCGCACAGAAACGAGCCATCGCTATTGGCTCACATGCCTGTCTCACAGCAGGCAAGTAGTTTTTATTCAAACGCCTACATTATTCCGTGATGCAATCTGCCACTACGTTTATAACCAAATGCCATCAATTTGAACCTGACCAGATATTTTAAACACAGACGCCATCAAATTGAATTTATACAAAGATTCAATTTTCCTTTTTAGTCCTCTGTCCACGCTGTAGAGCTGTAGCTAATTTTATCCTCTTACATCTATCGACTCTGCCCAAGAAATAATCACACTTTCCGACGTCAGTCGACACGCCTATTTGTCTAATCACAGGCCAATTTGCTTAAGGTAAATCTCACCCAATCAATCTGTCCTTTTCTCTAATTCTTGCACAGGCGTTACTTTCTGTGGATTCAGCAATAACCTGTTGACTGTAAATCGTTAATATATAAATGTATACATTAAGATCCACCATGACTACGATCGTGGAGGAAGGTAGACAGTAGCGAGTGACCTACGAAGATTTCGTGCAAATTATGTGATTCATCATCTCACAAATAGCTTTAATCCAGTTTTGGTGGAAATGCGATTTTCAAGTTTCATTGAATGGATTCACTTCAACTTGTATCTGAATGAACTAAAACCATTTAATCACCAATAAAATGTAAAAACTTTCCAGGTTCTCAGCTCTTTTAACTCCGCACACGTCAACAATGAATTCGCATTGTAATGACATTAGCGACATCTGTTCTTTAACTCACCTAAATACTTACATGAAAGTCCTCAACCAATCGCTGTGTTTTTAGTGGAATTGGCAAAAGACAACGGCACAGTCCATGTCTTCAACTCAGCAACACTGCTTGCGACTTCGTCTACATTTTCCCGTCGCAGTCAATCTCCACATTGACACGGACTTGAACTTCATGCTGGTGGTTCACGGTGACATTCATCAGATTACTAAAAACCTTCCAGTGATCTTTCGAATTAACAGCCACTTATGCAGTCACATTGACTAGCACTCAAGCATTCAGTTCGCATTCGCTATTCGTGGAGTAGCAACGGGTTTCGATGCAAATGTGGAATTACCTGGAGAAGTCACGCCTGCACTTACTTTCTACAAGGTCGCGCGAAAAGCATTTACGAAGTACAATGTGACCTTCTTGAGACAATTAAATAATGGCAAATTGTGTGTGAAGAAATCAAACAATTTGCGGCTTTGCACTGGAGAGCATGTGCCAACGTCAAGGCCGTTTCAAACGCTTACAGTGGTGTAAAATTGCGGTCTGATTGACGATGAAAAAGGCTTTGTTTGTAGCCTTTTTAAGACGTCATAGCTATTGCTTGTTGTTGTACATAATGAGGTCGAAAGGCCTAAAGCATGATGCCGACAGAAGTCTATTTTTTTGTTGGAGGCAGTCATGGGAAAACTGTGGGCTCACTCATGACGTCATGCTCCAACCCAATAATGCCATGAGTGCAGACAATTTGCACTTCCAGAGTACGTTTGAGATGCCAGCAGTCTTGAAACAAAATGCGTGGCTTTATTTCAGAGCGTGCCTCAATTCCTTTGCCTGCGATTTAAATGCTGACCTATCAACCAGCATGATGGAGCAATGGCGTCAAAGCTGATATATAAAATCAGACCTCTATGACAGGGGCTTTTTCAATCTAACCATTTACATCAAACTTTTGTGATCGCAATATTGCTGTGGTTACTTTTTTCTTGTGCGATTACATTTCCTCCCTACTGGCATCGATATTTAAAAACGTGCTTGGAAGTTTGTGGGTAAAACTCGACAGAGAGTAGCCAAGTAGCATTCTAGACTGACCAGTGTACTGTGATTGGGAGGTGTTCATGTAGGAATTGGTCTGGTGTTTGTGGTGAGCATTTTAGATACGCAGGGTGAATGAAAGCATCGGGTCTTAGAAATGCAGATGCATGGCCTTGAGTAACATATCAAGGTAAAAAATATCGGTCACATCGGTGCTGAGTGAAATGCAACAGGTCTTCAAATATAACACAAAAGAACAAACCTATTGGTAAATAAATCAATCACTCTTATCGCAATGTCATTATCTATCCTCACAGTGTGTTCCTATTGCGTCATAAGCCATTCTCCTAATCCTCTGTTAAATCTGCTGCAATACTTCGTAATTATACATAAACGTAACTGTGTTTAAAGTGCCTGAGGGTGTATGTCGGTTAAGAACGACCTTAGATGTTATGGTTTGAATGAGTAACACTTTTTTAGCCGAGATTTGCCCATTGGTCCTCTGTACATGTGCTTAGCTTTTGTGGCAGGCCTGATAATCTACCAATTTTAAGTGAACGAAGAGAGTACAAGCAGAAATCGCAATATAATGTTGTTATGTAGGCTTAATGACAAGCTATAATATGGACTGTCCGGTTATGATGAGGTTTGTCAAATGGTATCGCAATTACCATAAGAGCGCTTGCCTTTGAGCCTCAACCAAGTAAAAACTGAGATATTCTCGGGCTTACATGTCACCGACATATTTACGATCGACCTCGCCTCTGTCGTTGACACCGCGTTGACGTTGGTGTCAAAACACTGAACGAAAGACGGTATTTCTCTTGTATTTGTCCACCTTTTCACTTGACTTGGTTCACTTTAATGCCAAGAAAATGGCATCATGTGGATTAACTCCTAGGCATATCCATATAGACACATGTAGACACATGCAAATAAAGGAATGAAGCCAAATAAACAAATCTCGGCCTCGCAAAGAATCCTTAAAAATAGATGAGAATAAATGAGCACAATTTCAGTTTGGATGTCTGAGGCTCGGAGTTTCGCGGTTTTGAACCTGTATTATTCAGTTCAGATCTGCAAATTCTACAGACCAATGAACTCTCATGCGTGTAAATTTGCTGAGGTCCAATGCTGCAGCATGAGAACACTGGGACCGATTTCGTACACTTTAGCTGTTAGCGAAATTCAAATTTTAGATATATTTTTTGATACTGGCCCATTTCGATAGCTAAATTAGTTTTTTTAATATTTTCACACACAAAAATGCAGATACGATGAGATGCAATGGAAATTGACGCTTAAACAGAACAGAAGTCGTTGTTATTTGAGTGTTGTGCGAAGGCCTGTTTTTTGACCGAATTGAGGACCTAAACCCCACGCACGCAGCAGCACATCGCACCAGTTACATGTACGCGCGTTCAGTCGTGCGATTGAATGAACTCACTATCTATTCGTGGTAAATGCAACGACAGTTCTGATTATTGTTGTGATGTTTCACTGACGAGATCATGATTCAACGAATCGGTCACATGCTTACACATGACAAGATAAAGCAAAGTTTGCTTGTCACAGGCGGTTTTTGGTCATAAGAATAAATTTGATGTCGAAGGATTCTTTTGCATCAACACTAATCCCTCACAGAATGCTAATGCATGTTGTGGTATGTCGGATATTACAGTTGAGAGTCCAATGCCGGTGTGGAAAAAGTGTCATGCAATTAATCTGGCACAAGTCGCTCCTTACGTTTGCTTTCACCTCGTTGATGGATGAAACATAAATCAGCTGTGATACATTTTTTTCCTGCGGCATGCGCACTGGTGCAAAATTAGTCTAAATGGAGACGGTTGGGATGAATTCGAAGGATGCACCCCCCTTATTGAAGTCTCTACCAGTGCGAAAAATGCAAGTCAAGCACACTCAAAGACGTCACGATGAAATAGAATGCAGGCTACTTCACTGCCAATAGAAAGTGATTGTCATCAACTAGAAATCGATGTGACGCATTCGAGGGGCATGCGCAACAGCACAAAGGTCTGAATTGGTCGCACTTTAAATGTTAGTCTTACCATCGGTCATTTGGAGTGAGTGCATGAAAGTAGAACCAAGCATCTAAAGCCTCATCGTTGGACACGAGATCCTCACGAAAGGCGTCCACACAACGCTAAGATCAAGTGTAAAAGCATCCCGTTTTGTGGATTCCTGTTCATTCACAGCTCCGTTGGGCTGTTTTTGTAGCCATCGATAGGTAGCTGGGTGTGTGTGTGTGGTGATGGAATATGCCAAACTCATCTGATCAAAATCACTTTTCGAGACATTTCAACCATATATTTTACAGCACAACCAAATCTCTACCTCAGACGATACATTTGCAAAGCTGCAGCCTACATGATTACTGTATTTTGTGAGTAGAGTATGCATTGAAATGAATTTAGAACCGTGATTACTTATCCACGCAAGTAATTTGCGATGTGGTCAAAAGTGACTTCTGAACGAAGTACATGCTGCTTGAATTAGTGGGCAGATAAGCGATAAGAATCAACCTGATTTCTTGTGCTGATG